GCAGGAAAGGAAGTCAGAGCTTGCTGTCCCCTGCATGACCATGAAACTCGGGGCAGCACGTGAAGGGAAGCATGCACACAGTCATGCAGCCATGCAAGCATCCATGCACTCAGCAGGACAGCAGTGCGGCAGTCATCCTAGCAACTCTGATAAGAGATAAGGAGGATTCGGCATGCACTTTTTGAAGTCTGCTGAGGGGCAACACGAGGGGCCCACAGCCTTCTGTTTCCTCTCCACAGCTTAGCTCTTTGACAGCTGTAGAAATAAAAAAAAGTGATTAGTAAGGGTGAAGAAGTCTCAGGTGATCTGGAAGACTAACTGGTGCTCTTTGCGGTCACTTCACTTGCAACATGGTCATTTCATACTATCCTCACATCCTGGGGGGAAAATTTCATTAGAAAATTAGGTTAGAAGTAAAAAAAAAAAAATTAAAAAAAAAACTGAAGATACATATATGGCTTCTGATGGCATCAGTTTCTTTTTACTGCAGAATTGAGTATGCAGAGTGTGATCTGTGATAACCTGCAAAAGGCACACGAGTTCTGGTCACAATATTACTACCTGCGGCTCCCTGGCCCTACCTCCAGCCTGGGCAGCTCCTGCCCTCAGTCCATCTGGCATTTATTTCCTTTCTTTTCTCTGCAGTCTGTGCATCCAGCTGCCCAAACCTTCCTAAATGCTCTCTCACCACACCATCGGCTCTACAGTGTCCCACCTCCTGCTGCTGCTGACCAGGAAGCACTAGTGAGCCCACCGGGCTCCTCTCACACCCAGCCAGCGCATTTTGTCCTACAGCTGGTCCATCTATGTGCTCCCAAGGGACACTAGGATCATGCAGGCACCAAAGCTGAGCAGTTCTCGCTGCTATGTGTTTCCCTGTAGAGGGGGTTACAGGCAAAGCCATGTATGAAGACTGTCTAAGCTCACACTGCATATGCTGCACCAGTCAGTGCTTTTCTCTAGGCAGACAGAGAACATCAAGACCTCATTCTCCAGCTAAACCAACCTTGCAGCAGCCCGTCTCTGCAAACCCTCGTGGTGCCCCTGAGCAGGCTACGACCAGCTCAGGGCCTCTACGTGAAATCTTAAGGCCAAAAAGTACCACCGTGAATTCTTTAAAGCCATTTAAATAATCCTCATGTTCAATCCTTCACATTAAATTAAAAAAATTAACACGTTTAGAAGTGAGCATGCATTTTCCTTCCGGCACACCCGAGGAGGCGGCTTACAAACACCACAGACATTACAACAACATTAAGCTGTTAGAGGGGTTGAACCTCCTGTTATTCTCACTCTGAGCTTTTTACTTTCAGCTTGCTCTTGACAGATGCATAACTAGATTAAAAGAAAAAGTCATTGGTACTGGATGTTAAACTAGTGCAGAAATGGAGAGAATTTACTCTCTATTAGAGAATCTACTAAAGTATCCCACCACAGACCAAACTGATAGAAATAAGTATCAGCACATGGCTTCGCAGAAGCATCACCTACCGGATGAGAAAATGCCTGGTCAGACAGTACTGCTGGGTCACGGTGCTTGGCCTCGCTAACTCTGGCTAAGCTGTTCTCAGCCTGAGGAAGGAACAATTAAAGAAAAAACCAAGACCAAAACATGAAAATCACCATGGATGCTCCAGTTGGCTGCTGCAGTGCAAGAGCGCTGGTGATACTGGGGACAATCACAGGAGATGACCAGTGACAGAACTGAATTCTGAATGACTGACTACTCACATAAGGGTATCATTCACAGATTAGGAAGTAGAGAGACCTTCACCCGTTACCCTTTTGAACTGAAACTTCAAAAACACTTCCAAGAGAAGCTGGTCTCAAGAGCAAAGAGCCTACAACCAACCATGGATTTAAACCATGTACATAGACTACAACACATACTAGAGACAAAGCACTACAGAGTAGGAGCTTTACCGAAAGCATATAAAAACAATTAGTAAAATGTAATAAATTCCACTGTACCACACGCAGTATAAACACATGACTTTTTAACCTTCTTGATCCCCCAAAGACAGGTGTGCAATAAATAAAGAGAATGAGCAGGTTGCTTAAAGTGGCCCTGAATCTCTGCTGAAGCAAAAGGTGTTGAACCATTAGCCATGAAATCACCCACTGCCAGCAAAAACCCACTGCGCACCTGAGGACAGGGGGAAAAAAAAAATAAAAATCACCCACTTCAAGTCTAATAAGGATAGTTCTAAATTTGCACGCAACACTAGCTGCAAACTGATTTCTATTGATAAGAACAAAGAAATGTAAATGCAGTCATTAGAGAAAGCATGATAACAGTGTCCTGATTTAGTAAGGGTGAAATCAATGAATAAAAAGTGCTAGAGTACATGGAAGGGTCCCACTGTAAACATCAGGCTTGAAAAGACAAAGATGTGCCAGAGATGATTAACAAGATAGCAGAAATACAACAGAGGTGCTGCAAGAAAAGAGAGAGGTGATCCGTTTTATTGTATTGGGTAACCTTGTGCATTATCAGAACTTTAGACTGTAGATAACACCTTCTGGATATAAACAATGTTTTGTTTTCCTCTTTACAGAGACAGAAAAAAAAACCTTAAAAAGTGAAATAGAAAAAAAAGCTTATTGTAACAATGAGTTTTTCTTCATTGTATGAAAACATTCATAGAGACAGCTTGCAAGGGTTCAAGTGAAAATTAATTCCCTTCCAGATTATTAAAATTATAACTAAGAGTTTTTGGTTCAGTCTCTACTTTTTATTTAACACTGAATTGCTCTCTTTTTTTGGAAAAATGGCACTTTTCAATAAGCTCAGACAACTTCTTAATCATCATCTCAAATTCATATGCTTATGTCTACTTAGCATATTGCATAATACAAATAGAAGAAACTACAATGTTGCTACCACCACTTATAAAACCTCTTCCTAAAACACGCAGAAGCAGTTACTGAGGACCTGATTTTGTCACCTCTTCCAAAAGGAGTCTTATGATCCACCCCCCAGGTTACGGACTACTCTCTGGGCAGTGGAAATATAGCAACTTCTGAAAAACTATGGATCAATAAAAAGAAATAGGCAGAAACTCAGTTCATCATTTCTGAGGATTATTTCTAACATGCTGGTTTTTTGTTTACAAAGAGCAGGCAAAATGCCACAACCAGACCATGGGGGCTGTGCACTTGAAATGAGACCACACACCTGGACCTGACCAGGGTGGGCTGCAACAGAACCCTAGTAGCAAAGCCAACATAAGACTCTACTTAAAGCATATAAAAGCAAATGCTTTTTTCAGTGTAATTTGACTCAAAATATTTTCTTTCCATCATAGAATAAATAAAGATAAAGGAAAACCAAACAAACCTTGCAGGTACCAAAGTAAGACGCAGTGATAAGAAAAATAGAGAAAAGAAAGATTGAATTTGTAGCCACGTAACCCTATTTCAGCAGTGGCATACTAGTAAGATGCTTACATTTCCCCTGTGACATCTGCACGGCAGCATTTCTTATTTGTGCCCATGCCCAAACCTCTGAAAGTTCAGAAACTCTCTGAACAACAGTGGATTTTATGTTGTTCCAATTGTGCTGGCTGGGAAGCCATTATGCACCCCAACATCAGTGTTTGGCTTTTTTCCTATTATCTGAGAAAAATAACATGGCAGATAATATTTATTTCAATGCAAAATGAATCCTGTTGTAGAGCAGAGTTCTGGCACAAGGTAAAAAGATATCTTCCCTTTTGTCTTGTAGGAAACCAGAGTACTGGAGTGCTGCAGGGTGCGATGGGACATTGAGCTGGCCAGAGGTACGTCTGCCTGGGTCACTTGTTTATCCAGAAGGCTTTCAAAATCAGAAGGCAGGCTTTTTAGACTCTAAACCAAACTGTTTGTTCAAGAGAACGAATTTAAAGGAATTCAATAGACTAGAAATAAAATGGCTTTATGCACAAATCCCTCACTGCCAGATATACTGAGGGGATGGGTCCTTAGCTCCAGGGTTGTTTCAGCCAGCCCCCTTGTCTTCTCAGTTACAGGAGCCCCAGCACAACCTCCCTGCCCTCAGGGAGAAACACATTTGTTTCAAAAACATATCAGAGCCAATAGAAAAACTACTGTCCTGTAGTTGTGTCGCACCTGTTATGGTGCTGGCAAGTAACAGCCTACAACAGGAGCTTCTTTGCCCTTGGCAGGCTCTAGTCAGGTCAGTTGAAAAACTTCCTCAAATTACGTGGCTTGCTTCTTCTCTGAGTAGCTGAGGAGAGGGCAGGGGGGAGTGGGAAATTAAAAAATGAAGATCTGGGTACCTGCCCAGTGGCGGTGGAGGGCCAAGCTGCATGCTTGCTGCAGCACTGGAAGCAGTAAAGGCTCCTCTCGCCACGTGCTCCCAGGCAGAGCTGCTCCAGCTCCCACACCTCACAGAAACTGCTTCTCTCTGTACAGATGTGAGCAGCACTGCCTTCATGTCTCCTGAAGGTACGACTGGCTGGGAATGTTCAGCCAGACACAGCATCCTGCTTAAACCAGACACCTCTGTCCCACCCCTCCTCCTGACCTGTACAAAGATATGAACAGCCTGGGGTTTTTTTTTGTACACTTCAGTCTTACTCACTTCTGAGCAATCTCGTGAGTAGCATAGTATGAGCAGTTACATTTCTCAACATTACTTCTTACTATTTAAAAACTCAAATTTCCTTACATTGTCACAACACAGCAATTTACACTATAAATAAAGCTTCATGTTACACTACCCACCCCGGAAAGTGAGAAGTGTACTCTATTATTTTTGTTCTTTGTAAGAAACATAGTACATCACTTAG